TGAAAAGCTTGGATGTACCCCTGCAAAACTGTCCATTCAGGCAACAGTTTGCTTTAAAATCATCGAATCATCATTTTCTAACTCTCCTGTGATAAATCTGCTGATTGGGTTTTTAGGACCATTAAACCTTTGGCCAGGAATGTTGTTATTTCTTCCTTTGTGGAGCTGCACCGTACCGGTGCCAGTCGGTACAAGAGAGTTCCTGACGGCATCCTCAGGTCGCTCTGCCAGCAAGGGTCTGTGCCCGGTGCTGGGCTCCCCAGTTCCAGACAGACAAGGAACTGCTGGGGAGAGTCCAGCCGAGGGCAATGAAGATGATGAGGGGCCTGGAGCATCTCCATGATGAGGAAAGGCTGAGGGAACTGGGTCTGTTCAGCCTGGAGAAGAGAAGACTGAAGGGATCCCATCACTGCTTATAAATACCTTAAGGGTGGGTGTCAAGAGGATGGGGCCAGACTCTTTCCAGTGTTGCCCAGTGACAGATTATGGGGCAATGGGCACAAACTGAAACTCAAAAGTTCCATCTCAATACGAGGAAGAGCTTCTGTACTTTGAGGGTGGCAGAGCCCTGGCACAGGCTGCCCAGAGAGGTTGTGGAGTCTCCTTCTCTGGAGATATTCAAAAACCTCCTGGACGTGATCCTGTGCAACTTGGTGTAGGTGACCCTGCTTTGGCAGGGGTTCTAGACTGGATGATCTCCAGAGAGCCCTGCCAACCCCAACCGTTCTGTGATTCTGCGATTCTGTGACTGCCTGCGCATGGGGCCCTGCAGCATCCCTCCGCCTTAGGCGTGGTGGTGCAGGACCTGAGGGATTTTTCCAGGAGACAGCGAATTTTATACCTCCCTCTGGCATTGCAAAGTAGACTCATATTGTGGCAAAGGCTAGCAGAGATGTTTGTCTGGCCTGTCAGCCGTAGGAGATGACTCATATTGTGGCAAAGGCTAGCAGAGACGTTTGTCTGGCATGTCAGCCGTAGGAGACGCCTCAAAATGAAGCTATGTGCAAGCTGTCTTGTTTAAGTGACCACTGCTCCATGCAGAGGAGCAGTGTGATTTACCCCTGCTGCTCTCTTCCATAGCTCCGTGAGAATGATCCGCGTCTCACCGATTTACCCCTGCTGCTCTCTTCCATAGCTGCCGTGAGAATGATCCGTGTCTCACAGTTGGTGCTTTCATCTGGTAGTTTGTAATGGAGATAATCGCCTGTCCTCATACTGAAAATAACCTGTAGTAGCAGACAAAGATATTGGCTTCAGAGATAGATGCAAATCTATACAAGACTATTTAATCTGCTTAGGGACTGCAGGTATTAAACTGGATTGGCTATTCCTCCAGTAATATGTCCTTCATACCTGACCCTCTCTTGTATTAGAACTCCACTAGCAGAGGCATCGTGAAAATGGGATCATTTTCATCTGCCTCTCTCTGCAACAGCATCTCCCATCTGGCTGTTAAGCATCAAAGAAGCTTCCAGGACTACGCTCAACCCTTGGTACTGATACTCCTCTTCCTCTTGGACAGCATCTTTGGAAGGTAAGCTGCGAGGTTCATTTGATTGCTTCAGATCTCTTATGACTGAGATGGTCCAACCAGTGAGAAAGGAGTTGATCAGGAGTTGACCTGTCAGAGAACTGCTAACCTTACAAGCCTAGAGAAACAAAGAGGCTGATGGTCAGGTGTTGTGAAAGGCTGGAGGGCTCTTACAATTGATCCTGGCTTGGGATATGTTTCTGCTTGCGAAAGGTCTTTTAAGTAGCTCATTTGGGAGAGGAGAAGTAAAAACAGTGTTTAAATAGGAGTATGTGCACACATCTTCTGTTATCTCTGTGTCATTCTTTCCACTCTCTTATCTTTGTTACGAAGGGCTATTTTCTAATGTGCAATTTGTTATCCGTATTATGCAGTTCTGCCATATGCATGTTTATATTCTTTTTACATATGAAAAGCAAAGCTTATACCATCTATTTATCTAGGTACTCCCATGACCCTCTATTACTGTTGCCTTAGTGATCCTCCCAACTATTTAAAAGAAGATAATAATGCCTATCTTGCAAGAAATTTAGGCTGGTTACTTCACTGGGTGTTATGCAAGAGGGTAAGTGTGTGCTAACTTGCATGAAGAGCTTATCTGAGAACAGCTTACAAAACTGTGATTCACATCCAGCTCAAGAATAACATAACCTTCTCACTCTGGGGGAAAAAAAAAAAATCCACGAAGAGTCATATTCTAAGGTAAAACGTTTAAGCAGTGATGAAGGGTAAATTCTCTCCAACCCCAAATCACTGTCTCCGTACTGCTGCAGCTGCAGGCTCTGTCACTCTGGCATTTGCAATTTCTCTCCCTTTCTAAATGCTGTTCAAATAATTATGCAAGATATGCTAATTATCCTCTAATAAAAGGTATGATTACAATTCCACTTTGCCAGTTCTGATTTCTACAGAAAAGCTGTAGTCATAGAAACAAAGGGGTGCTCAGCACCCTCAGTTTTACTGGAACCAAATCTTCCTCCTGCGCTTCTCAAACTGAAAGAAAAAAGCTCACCATTGCTTGGTTTGTGTTCTGTGGGAGTGCAAGGCTGGAGAGAGCCACGGAGCAGCATAGCGGGGAACTATCAAGCAGTTTTCATCCTTCTGTTGAGGTTACTTAGGTAAATAACTGGTCTGTTAGGAGGGAGGTTTTAACAGCATGATCTCGTCTTCAGAGCCTCATCTTTTCTAGCAGTCTAAAGTAGGTTCCTTGACAGAGGCTGTATCCTCTCTTCCCACAGAACACTAACTCAATTGTTAATATTACAGATTAGCAACTGGACTCAAGTGAAAACACAAACCTTAATAGCTCCTGGGTGTGGGCATGAGGTGGAACCAGAATTCAGCTGAGATTGGACTGTCTTGGCCAACTCCTCTCTATTAAGCCAAACCTTTGATTATTAATCAGCATAGCCTACAGTCAGAAAAAAAAAGACAAGACTGAAACCTGAATCTGGATCTGCCTTTATTCATTTAAGTCCATTTCCTTCTATTGAAAAATAGAAAAGCAGTCAGTGAAGTAACATTATCCAAATGGTGGAAAGTTGCGGTACTTTATTTTTTATTCCAGACTTTCTTTTGCAGGATTCCACGTTTTGCATCATGCAGTTTCACTCCTGATGCTTAATATCAACTAGAAACTCCAATGGTGGATATAAGTGCAAATTGCTGATCAAGAGAAGTCTTCAGTGGCTTCTGGACACAGCTCTGACTTTTGAACCTTTAGGAAATGCATTTGCCACGGAGAAGGCGGCTACAAGGGAACCGAATCTTTTTCTTGCTTGCCACAGTGTTGGTCCTCTCTCTCTATCAGCTCCAGTTCAGCCCCTCTGCCCTTCCAGCACCACACGCAGCCCCCCAACCCACGAACTCTGTCAAAGTGACCTCCAGGGACCGCTCCAGCAACAAGACTGCCGCAACAGGCAATGTCACAGCAGCACCCAAAATAAGGCACTGCGTATATGTGGATCCTGAGCCAACCGTGCCCATCACTACATCAGTGGATACAACACCACAGCGAGAAAATGTCAGTGAAAGCTACCCAGATGGAAAGCCACCGTACGAGTCCAAAGGAGAATATCCCCAGGACCTATTTAGTGTGGAAGAACGCAGACAAGGGTGGGTCGTACTTCACATCTTTGGCATGATATATGTCTTTGTGGCCTTGGCCATAGTGTGTGATGAGTATTTTGTCCCTGCTTTGGGAGTGATCACAGAGAAGTTGCAGATCTCTGAAGATGTGGCTGGAGCCACCTTCATGGCAGCAGGTGGATCAGCACCAGAACTCTTCACCTCCCTCATAGGTGTCTTCATCTCACACAGCAATGTGGGCATCGGTACCATTGTGGGCTCAGCAGTGTTTAATATCCTCTTTGTCATTGGCACCTGTGCCCTCTTCTCAAGGGAGATCCTCCACCTGACATGGTGGCCCTTATTTAGAGACATCTCATTCTACATTGTAGACTTACTGATGCTCATCCTGTTTTTCCTAGACAGTGTCATTGATTGGTGGGAAAGCCTCCTTTTACTGACTGCCTATGCCACATACGTATTCACTATGAAACAGAACGTGTACCTAGAACAATGGGTGAAGCAGGAGCTGAACAAGAAGCTAAATGCTGTGCAGGCAGCATCAGCAGAGCGTATACGGAAGGTTGGTGTCCTTATTGTTCAGAGGGCAAGTTGGAAATAATTCGTTCTAGCGTCAGTCACAAAGAAAAACTGCATTTCCTTCACAAAGCGCATATTCAAACAAAACCTCGGAATACAGGTACTGGTCAATAATTATGGTTATAAAATGAGGGAAATACAATCGAGATAGTAGACATTCTAAGAAATTAGAGAACATCACTGAAAGGGATTTCTACCCTTGCAATTGCTAAAGATACCAGTTGCGGTTGCTCATCTACTCTCAAAGACATGTGTGGGATTTTGCTTACTCAGTGATTGTAAAGGAGTTTCAAAAAAAACCCACCACCCACTTGTAGGAACACATTCTTAGTCTAGGAACAAGATTGGACAATTCTGTGTTAAACAGGGGAAAAAAGGCTTCTGGTAAGAGGCACTGTCCAAGCCTCTTGCAGATGAGAGATGTTGGAGGGAATTCTCTTTTCCCTTGCTGAAGATAGGTGTGTTGCTGGGATGCTGGTGGTATCACTTGTTACCCAATCTGCAGCACGGAGGGGATCTGGCAGCCTTTAGAACCGTTGCCACCTCTCCCAGTCAGCATCTGGCAACAAGATCGAAATGCCCACATCCCATTTCCATGCACTGACCCCAGCTGTGTGTGCTCAGAGATGATTCTGTAAGCCACAGGTGCTCAGACAGGGAGTTTTATGGCTGTAACTACACACTCCAGATTTGAGACCGGGGCCCTTCGTTCATTGCCTTTTGAAGGAAGACTTGACTGCTTGCACAAAGACAGTATCTGAAGGCATCCTCAGAGCCAGTTACCCTTTCAGACTAGCAGATCTGGCCAGGACATGGTCTCCAGAACACTTGGGGCTTTGTCTTCTCGAGTGTGCCTGCCCACTTCTTCCTCCTCTGTCCCTTCCCAACTATCCTACCGCCTCTTTGTCCTCTTGACCTGTGCCACTGCCAGCCGTCAAGCAGAGACCACTAGATTTCAAATTGTCCTCTGGCAATCGCAGGCTTTACTACTCAGATGTGTGTCTCTGGCACTCAAGCACGCTTTGCCCCTTCTGACCTCGGCACTCCACATAAATTAAGGAAAGAAAGGGAGAGGGCTGAGGATAGTTGAAGTGGTGCAGAATCGAGAAATTGCTTTTCTTTCCTCCTCCCAGTCTGTCTTTCAGCCAGTGCTCGTGGCTGGGAGTCCTGAAAGCTCATGTGTTACATTCCAGTGGGATACATGTGCAAGATACTGCAGCTATACACATACATCACTGTGGACATCACCGATCATCACAAATTGAATCCAGCCCTTCAGACTGAAGGAAAAAAACCCCTGCACTTTAAGTTTACAGAGAACTCCCACTAGTGTATAGTAGCGTGAAGGAGAGCTGCTGGACCTAACCCTTGGGAAAAATAAATTACCTATATGGAAAATAATGTGGATCACTGGAATAAAATACCCGTTTGCACCTTCACCCTGCCTCTGCTGGAAAATGAATAACGATATAGGTGTTTGGGGACGAAGTCTGGCACTACCTATATATACAGGAATCGGACGGTAGAGGCCATTTGAGTCCGCCTCCGGGTACCTGCATCCTCACTGAGGAGCTGTAGGTAGAATCCTGTTTCTCTTGGAGGCCACCTGGTTTTGGGGAGAGTACATGGCTTTGGCTTTTTCAGTACCATCCATGCACAGACATTTGTATTTAGCTGTCTCACTTTCTCATAGACAATAGCCTGAAGAGCTGTCATTAGATCCTGAAAATCAGGTGAAGCGGCAGTGGTGCTCAATTGTTTTTGTTGTTGCTTGCATGCAGAAAAGCAGTGGGGCGGTTGCAGATGATGGAACAAAGAAGCCAGCAGATGGGAGGAAGCTGCAGGTAGGCTAAGCAACTTTACAGGGATCTGAAGTCATTGTATTTTGAACCCCTCCCCATGTCAGGTCATGAACAAAGGTATCAACTTCTGTGTCAAGAAACCTGGACCAAAGCCTACTTTTGCAAAGAACCAGCCATGCTCGGCACAATATCCACAGCTTACTTAAGAGGACACCTGGCTGAGCTGTATCCTCAGAGGAATTTTTCTAAAAATGAAGAGACAGCTCAGGCTTCCCAAGTGGGTTTGTCTAGCAGGGTGCTATTCATTCTGCACTTTATACAGGCATAGAGAAATTCAAAGCATGACTTCTCTTACCTGGTTTCATGGCCAATTTTCCTCCTGGACTCCCAAAGCAGAGGTTGGTAGAGTCTGTCCTTCCCCAGAGCAGACACTGAAGCGCTCATTCCTCTGCTGCTGGTTAAACTGCTGACCCTTTGTCTTCCCCATGCTGGCCAGCCATTGCACAGAGAGGCCTAGCTGATGTAGCAGCTGCATACGTAGGTAACGTAACGGGTGTTAGCTTCCTCATATGGATGCTGCTTGTTTCTCTATGTATTTAACCTACCTGTACTAATTAATGTTCAGTCAAAACCTCATTAGGACTCTCGTGTTGACTGTAAGAACGGGGCACCAGAGCTTTTGAGTTTAAGTCAGGACATCTGACACGACAGTAGCATTACCTTGTAGCAGCATATAAATCTACACAGATATTAACAAGTTTATGACTAAAAGCACTGCATGCTTTGATTATTATAATTTATAATAACATTGTACTGATGCTGAGGCCACGCAAGCCTGTTGCATTAATCTAAGGAGGGGTTGGCCTGCTATCTCAAGAGCATGTCTCTTGCTGCGAACGGTCGGTACTGACAGCCATCCTGGGGAGCTGAATACAGAGCCTGTTTAAAATCCACGCTGAGGCTGGTCCTTGGGTTGGGGAGATCAGCCTCCATACAAATCCATCCCCAGGGCAGAGGTGAACCGATGGTGGAGATGTTTTGAGGAGGAAACTGCTATTGACTGCTGCGTTGTACCTTTCCATAGCCTACATCAGCCATACAGCGAGGCAGCAGCTCAGCCTCCCTACACAACTCCCAAATGCGCAGCACCATCTTCCAACTCATGATCCACACCCTGGACCCCCTGGCAGAAGGTGAGTGAATGGTCCACAGCTGAGGGACTTGGGTTTGCAGCCCCGAGCGCGGAGCAGTTTAACTGGGAATACAGCCTTTGTATGTCAGGGCATTGGGGATCAGCAACTCATCCTTGAAATGCAGCTCTGAGTATCACAGGTAATGTTCGGGGGCGGGGGGAGCTCTGCAACAGTGGGACCTACCCCTGCTGATGGCATGGCTAGCAAGGACAAACACCTCACGTTTTGGCCCTGCCAGATCTACTTTGCCTGTGCCAAACTGGTTATTGCTGTGGTGGCAGCTGCTGCTTGATGAGGGACGAGGGCATGTGGAGTAGCTGTTGTTGCTGGGGTCCCTGCAAACGGTGGTGCTCACTGCAGTCCCCCATCTTCTGCTGTCTCTCTGACAGCAGGGCAGCAAACATCAGTTATAGGCTTCCTCCATGTCATCGCATGTCACATCTTCCTTCCTCTTCTTAGCTCAGTCCTCGCCCCAGTCTTGAAGCAGTTGCATTCAATGCTGACTACATTGTCGAGAAATTGCTGCTCAATCTGTCAGTCTCATTTATCATGGGAAAGTGAACGCAGGGAGAGGCCGTTACCTATAGACGTCCCGAGCTGTGCACACAGCCCCTCACAAGGCATAAACCCGAAGAAGAGGAAAAGGAAGTTAAAACCCTTGAATAGTTACCATTTTGACAGTGGTTAAAATCCCAGCTGAGATCTAAACCACACCACAACTTCCAATTGCGATGGTTAAGCCCATCCGTATGTCATGTAGAGCAACATTGAGCACCTCTAAAAGCCCACCTGCAACACCCTGGTATCATCACTGCCATGGCAAACCGTGCCCACAGCACTTGGCAGGCGATGGGCCAGCTCCCCAGGGCCAAGGGCTGATCAGCTCAGGACTAAGACATCTCCTTTTAAACTGCCCAGGGCGCAGAAAAGCCACACCTCCAGACAGACCCAGGGCCTTTGTACACAAACTTTTAATGGGCTGCTTTGTATCAACTTTAATCCAAACACAGTGAGGAGGTTCATTTTCCAAGAAATGGTGAAGCATGTTAAAAAAGATGTTTTTTAGACTTTCTTTCCTAGTTCAGCGCATGCCCCATCCCTCCACTGCCCTACTTATTTTAAAGAGATTATCTGTTGTCCATTCAAAGAGAGATTGAAGCTAAGCAGATCAACACCTCTCGTGTCTATCACAGAGGTTACAAAAAGGACTCTCCAGATCAAAATCCCAGCTGATTAAGGGAACAAAAGAGGCTTGATAAGGACAGCAAGACAGATCAGTGTCCGCTTTGACAGATTTTAGAGAAGGCACCCATCATACTACTAACAGTAGCCTAACAAGAGCCAGACTCACCAGAGTTTGCTCTACTGCCCTTGCCTCCTGTCCCCCCCAAAAGGTGGTATCAACAGCACAAGGCTAAACCCAAAAACTTACAGAGGACACGCTGTTTCATTTAGCATCAGAAAGTGCCAGATCTGAGGGACTGCTGTCCCTCCGAGACCCTCCAGCACCTTCTCATCCTCCCTGCACCTCTAAATACCTTTGTGCAGCATCTACCCGCCCCAGGCCAGCACAGCCTTGGCTTTCTGGTCCAGGCTGGTGAAACCCTGGGACCTCAGCAGGAGCTGCGGGGGCCGGAGGCTGCCAGCCCAGCCCAAGGTGGGTGCTCCAGTGCT